CAAAAGTACACTGTAAAAAGCACAGAGGGTTTACTAATGGGTTTACGATGCTACTAAAGGCGTAAGAGTATTGGAGTCCTTCTTAAAGCCCTAAAAGGTTTTGTAACGATTTTATTTGTGTTATTGACCATTAGGGTTTTTTAAACTACGCCTTAACAAAACAATTATCGTTTTTCGTTTAAATTTGGTGTAATGATTTGAACTAAGACTATGGAATTATTCATGCCATCTTTCTTCTCTTTGGACTAGTCTAGACGGATATAGCGGACATAACAGACTAGTCATGACGGGTCGAAGGGACACTCCAGACTAGTCTAGGTGGGTTATACGGACATTTCTTAAAAACTGGACTAGTCTTGACGAGCGAAAGGGACCTTCCAGACTAGTCCCGACGAGATATATGGACATTTCGGGCTAGTCATGAGGGCCGTCTTCAGTAATTTTTTGCTTACCTGGGTGTGGACAACTGAAAATCAAAACGGAAAAATTTTCGCAAAACTGGCTTTCCCCGCTATATTTTTAAAAGATTTTCTAAAAACAAATATTGTCACTAGGCCCAGGATGATCGACTACCTATAATCCACGAGCTTTAAAGCCTATCAATAGTCACCGGATACCAGCAGCATTGGAACCGGTTGAGTTTTTCCTAACCGGACCAGACCGGCCAGTTCGATCAGTTAACCGACTGGTTTAATACGTAGTTCAACCGGTAAAAAACCAGTGGATTTCATAGCAGATTAAAGTGCGCATTTTGTGAAAAATCGATTTTTTGCAGAAAGTTAAGCTTGTGTATTTTCAAAGTCTTCATGTTCTAGTTATTCCAGCATTAACGTGAGGATGACCATTCAAGCTCTATATCGTACACTGAGCTAAAGGTCATTACAGTAAATTATGATCGACAAACATGCACACACACAAAGGACAATGTTCATGGGTGTTAGTGGTTTTCTGATTGGCTGAAAAAGAATAAGCAACAAAACTGAAAGGAATACTTTAAGGATAGTATGATGATACAAAAATAGTGCAGTATTGATCTTATGTGATACATTTGTTATTGTTTAAAATAAACTTTATAGTGTTGCTATAAGACTTGTGTGTTGCTCTTTACTACATCTACAGTAGATCAAGCTGGAACTGATTGAATCTTTTCTAACTGAACCTGCTCGTTGAAGTGTGATTAAACTGTTAAACAACCGGCGTCAACCGGACCGGTGATCGGTCAACTGGCGGATCTAGCTCCAACTCTGGGTGCCAGCCCTGGACTCGTAGGAAACCCGATACAATGCCCGAACTGGGGAAAATTAAAGTCTCGCTTGACATTCGTTTTAAAGAGGAGCCCCCCGACTACCAATCCACGAAAAAAAATTAAGACAATCCTATTGGAAAATTTGTACACATGGTCTGATTTTTTCAAAGAACTCCGACAAAACCTAGTTAAGAAAGCTCTTCCAAAAACATTTTGCTAGCAAAAACATGCTCTCATCTTTCGCACGATAAAAGTCGGGACTCTCTAGCTGCTTTCTGTCAAAACTTAGTCAAAAACCATCTGTAGTCTTTATATTTTGAAATGGATAGTAATTTCTATGTTTTTTTTTCTGTTTTCTTGTTGATGAACAAAGTTATTCGCACGTCTAAGAAATGACATCTCCTAATGAAAATTACGTATAAAGTCTTACCAGTGTTAGGACAATTGCAGACTTCTGATCAGTTCACTTCTTCGATAGAGAAAAGTTGTTCCGAATTATTCATTGTCACCTGCTCATGGTGTGAGTGTATGATGTTGAATCTCTCAAACGATGAATTTAGAGGTATAAATGTTTGTTGATGAATCAACAACATTATAAATAGTTTTCGGATGAGTTTAAAATTCTAAAACCTTTTTGAGTTCTGGAAAAGCTATTTGTTTTAGTGTAGCTGTGCGTTGCATGCGATATGTTTATTTTAAAGTTTGAGAAATATCTAAGTCTAACAACTTCGTTTCTGTAACTTTCGTTATAGTTTTATCAGCTAATTTTAATACTGCTCGTAATATAGGTGTAGATGATGGATAGAATAGAAGTTACTGGTATTTCTTAATATTGAACTCCAGAGGGTTCTTGACTTTTACTAACTTTTATTTTATTTACTTCATCTCGAACCGTAGTTAAATTATCATTTTCAAAATTACTTTTAGTTAAAAAGGTTTTTCATAAATCGTGCTTCTTATAAAATTCACTTAATGCTGAATATTTGCTTTTATTTGAGTTATACAATAATGATTTTTCTAATAGTTCAATTTCTCTTGGAGGATATAACCATGTTTGTAAATCATCGTGGTGACCGAGAAATTCTAAAACATACGCAGCTGCATGGACCATTTTTGTATAAGCAAATGGATTGATATTCTGTATAGTATCACATTGTTTATGATAACACGGATCATGTATCGCTTCCACTATTCCGCCTTGGCCTTGGCCTAACATTTGATCATAATAATCGCGTTCTTTCTGAGATTTGATATCATCTCCGCCGCTGAACAAACCTCCGGCTGTTATACCAGCAGCCAAAAATGGTCCATAATCACTCCGGCCACTAAAATCAGTTTTGGTCCATGGGAGTGAATTCTTTTTGAAATACTCACTAAATAGATCAGTCAACTTTTGACTACCAGGAATGGCATGTGCAGGCGTAGTATTTCTGTTCGCGGTATCCGCATCGTAGACACCAAATATGAAATTTGGTGAACCTAACATGTCAAAGTTCAGATTAACAAGATAATCTTCGATACGTTCACCTACTTCAGTCTTATTCTTAGCTTTATTCACATGATCTGTCGAACCTAGTAATCCAACTTCCTCGGCACCCCACCAACAAAACCGAATGCGATATTGATATCTTTTATAGTCAGCAGTTTGAAGAAGTCTTGCAACATTGGTAGCTAAAGCTAAATTAGCTGAAGTACCACTACCATTATCGTTAATTCCACTACCAGCTGGCACACTGTCACTATGACTACCAACGACAATGGTTTTTGTTTTATCTCCTGTCGGTGTATCAGCACATACATTCGCAATTGACTGTGGTGGTTCATCTTTAACTGCAATATTAATCAGAACGCCTACATTGGACGAGTTATCATCTGCAGACAAACTCAGATTTGTACCAACACCGAAGGAGAGAAATAGAGCGGGAAATGTGGTTCCCTGTGACACACTGGCTGCAACAGGCTGGAGTCGATCAGGGCTTGCACCATCATTGTATAGCAGCAGAGCAGCTACACCATACTGAGCGGCTAAATCACTCTTATCAACAAAAGCGCAATCACCTCGTTTGACTAGTGCTACACTATCTCGAGCCGGATGAGGACTTGCGTTGTTCCAATCGTCAGCAGAACAACCGAGATTAGGAATGTTAGTGACACGTACAGGTGATGAAAAACTGGCACTAGCTGAATATTGCATAAATGTAAAGTTTGCTCTATATGTATAATTTTGTTGAATACCATTTACAACTGCAATTAATATTGGATCACGATTAAGTGTAAAACTGGATACGGGAAAATAATCTCGTTGTATTAATAAATTGGTATTTTGTGTTAAATAGTTATGAATATAATCAATAGTGTTATTAAATCCAATTGTACCAATCGCACGAGTTCCGTTTGCTTTATTAGCAATATCTTGTAATTGTCTTAAATGAGCCATTATCTCATCTGTTCTTATTGCATCAACTAATGTTTTTGAACTAGACGATACAGTGATGATATTGGTACCGTTGCTAGCATTAATGTTGTCATTCGTTTTCTTAAGAACGATGGCCAGTATGGCTGCTGACAGTCCAATCGTAATCAAAATCAGTAGGCCCACTAATAAAAGTGGAATACTACTTGATTTATGCTTTTTTTTTGCAACCGGTACATGATGAGTTGTAGCGGTTGTTGTATAAGAAATGGGTGTTTGACTGGCTAAAACAGGGTAAACAGGAGGTGGGGTAGTTACAACTTTGTTCAACTCCATATGACGATAATCTGGAATAAAAATCGTTGGAAGATCAAGCTAATAACAAATATGCCGGCTTGTCCACTCGAGACTTCGCTGATCAAGTTTTTGAAAACATTATTTTAGAGTGGAACTGAGAGGAGCATATCACGAGATGCAGTTTTTGGCGCTGATTACGAATCTGACATTAGTTTTTGAAAAAGTTAAATTTTGGCACCAAAAATCTAGTTTTACATTTTTCGAAAACTGTATTTTCAATTTCCTCACCTAGACACTTTTCCTAATAAAAATGGAAGGTCATACTAATCGATGGAGAATTCGATTTTCTACAAGATGGTATGTTTCTCTCGAAGTTTAGATTCAAAACAAGCTTTTTAATAAAGCTTTAAGTTTTAAGATTTTCACACAATTCTAAGAAAGTGAAAACATTTTTTCAGCTTTATTTTCACCTTAGTCTATATCAGATGCCTAAAACCAAGTCTGATGTGAAAATGAAATCCTTTGAGCAATATTTAGTGCTCCAAACTTTGTTGGGAAAAACGAATGTCACAGCGTCACAACGATAAAACACAATTATTGAGAAATGGAAAGCTCTTTCGAAAGACTCTTTTTTAGCAATCAGTAGCTCGTTTACTCCTTTACAAATTTTGATCGATTTTTATTAGCTCTTCTAAATTCGCAGCAAATTAGTTTTCAATCAGAGGCACTTCGAATTTAGGGCCTTTTTTTGTCACAGCGTCACGCGCCGAAAAACGGTTCTGAAAATTCGAGTCTTTAACCATATACCTTCATTTTTATAACAAAAGTAGAGTATGGCGAGCTACGTCGAATGGCGCAAGAACGAGATTCCTAGCTGTTACACTTTTTGAGATAAGCTCAAATTACTGTGTCAAAAATGTCACAGCGTCACGCTTGGACAAGCCGTCCGGTTGCTTCACTTTTGTACGCAAGATTTTTCGGTTTTTAGCAGGATTCTGGACGTTTTTGAGCTTTTTTCGGCTGGAAAGGGCAAAGAACTTTCGAATTCACTCGTGAATACAGCCGCTCAATCCTTTAGAAGATCAGTTTACAATTATTGAATATTTCCAAAAATGCAAAACGGAGTTCAGAATAAATATTCAAAAACCCAACTCCAACCTACTAAAATCTCAACTCCAACCCCGCTAAAATCAACTCCGACTCCAACTCCAACTCCACCAAAAAAATCACATTATTGCAATCTCAAAAAATTTCTGCATTTAATCATGTGCTCAAAACCTAAAACCTATTGCAACAAATAGGAGAAAAAGTCAAATGAAAAAACTTTCTTTTCAAAATTTAGGCATAAAAGTCGACCGTTACATGGAATAGCCCTATCATAAAACATAGAGTTGGAAAAAATTTATTTTTCAATGAGGATTAACTAAAATAAAGATCAATCCTCTACATACAGTATCTATCATGAATAGCTAGCTAATAGAAACATTATTTAATAATCAGTTCGGTCTTGCACCAAAAAATATTCCATCTGTTCCTTTTGTCGCAGTTCTACTTCTGACCTGTTCTTACTCTACTTCACTTTTTTAAATACTGAAACATCATGTAAATACCGGATATAGAAGGTTATTACAACAGAAAATTATTATTTTAAATTCATCTTTTTCTCTTTACTGTGGTACCGATTTTATGAGGATTTTATACTCTACAATTCCAACACGAAATAAAACCTTTACTATAAAAATGTGAATAGATTAATTAACGTTTGAACTATGCTGTGTCGAAAATTCTCTTAACGTAAACTCTTGTTGAAGAGAAAGTTACGCGAGATTTTACATCTTTTCAGAAGGTATGCCGAAAAATGTTAAAAATAAATATATTAAACGACTAATATGAAAAACCAATTAAATATTTTTCTATCTGACCTTATAAATATTTTTCTTGTTGTAAGATAGAAAAATACAAATATTAAAGCTGGCGATGACGTTAATATTACAGCAGTTTTTGGTCGGACAGAAAAATATTTAATTATTTTAAAATAAAGGAAAAATATTGAACAGACTAATATTTAGATAAGATGAAAAGATATTTAATTGATATTTAATATTAGTCGTTTAATATTTTTCTTTTTAACATTAGTCTATAGACCCCTTTCATACTCTGTCGAGTTGTGTATTTAGAATGCATTTTTCATTAAGTTGAAGAGAGAATTAAGTTGATTATTTCGAAGTTTCTAAACGTTAGACAAGGAATTTTCTCACATAATCACTCCTTCAAACGGCATTAGAGCTCGATCTTCGTTTTAATAAAAAACAAGAAAACAAACCGGACAACAAAATCGTATGAGCACTAATGACACGTAATTATGATCATGCAATACGACACAGTGAACTGATCAGGAAAAACCGACTTTTAATTAGTGCAGCTTTGGATCGCTGATATAGACAAATATCTGTTTCAAAATCGGCGTTATTTTTTTCGAAGAAATTCATGACAAAGTGCGATACCGAGCTGCCTTTTTCGTCAATCTGAAGCAGGGAACTTGGGACTATTCGCATATGAAAAAATCGCTTCAACAGCTACTATGGCGTAAAATAAATCTAAGAAAATTCTGGGAAATTTTGACTTCGAAAACCTATTATCTAAAACGTCCATCTATCTGTATACTTTGACATTTATTTATGTATTTTGTTCTTGGACTTTGCTCTATCTAGCTTAGCGAGCTCGGTCGACGAAATGGGTCGACTGGCGACGTCAATAGATTCCTTTAGATCCAGTACTTGGTTATATCAACAAATCAGCATTCAAAATAAACTACTCCATACTTACTCTGAAGCCTGTTCTTGCTGTCGACAGTTATTTTTTGTCATAAATCACTATGAATAAGAAAAACATTGTTTTTAACAACTGCTGTTTTTCTTTCATATTATGATGACATTTTATTATCTGCTTGATGTTTATTAAGAGCTTAACTTTTTAAGTTCGAAAAAAAGACAAAATATTTTTGTTTCATGTTTTTCCTAGTTCATCTATACTGTGACAGTCACTAAGTGGAGAACAATATGTAAATTTATCCTTGGAAAGCGTTGGAATTTATCTGTTAAAAGCAGGTCGCATAAATCAAATATTTTTGAAATTTGGCGTAGGTGTATTGTTACTATGCTTATTCTTATTATTCCATGTGTTTTAACAAAAAAACAAAACTAAACATATTGTTTGTCCTTCGAATTTCGATAGAAGTAGTTTTGGACAAGAAAGACAAATAAATTATCAATGATCCATCTTTACTTTCTTTTTCAATGGATAACATATCGCGTTGAACATAATAAACAACGATATAAAATATGTGTACGGATCATGAAAGTTGCTCTTCTCATCTTCATTTATATTAATATATGTTCGTATCGAATTTTCCCGCAAGAAAATAAACGACAGTTTTAGTAGTTTACTCAATCGTTTTTGCAAAGCTATTGGTGCAAAAATTGTCCGTTAATTGATGACCATATACTCGATGCGCAATTATTGTTACTTCCGCGACCGAACATCAGTTCAGTTTAATAAGTTAGAGCAATTTGTAATAGTAGCAATGCTCGGCTATCTGCTGCAGATGAAAAAACACCGACATTTGCATAATTCATTCATTTTCGACCAAACTTCAACGTTTTTTATTGTTTCATAGAGAAAACTACAACAGTAACTTTTCCCACACTTTCAAACTATTCCATTTTGTGGGACTACTTTCTTCGTAGGAAATTCTACTATTAGTTTTCCGCTTTATTAGCAAACTTCCACTAGAAAAAAGGTTTGATTAGCTTTTTGCACTTTTCCAGATGATAGTACCGAACAACGATGGCTAAAGAAATCCACACTATCCGATTCTTTCCAGACAAAATCGAATGATGATTTTGTTATGTGAACGCGAACATCATCTACTTTATTCTAATATTAGAAATTATTTATGTTTCATTCAAAGAGCTTTTGCGCTATATAATTTATCAAAAAAA